TCCTGGCGGGGGATCCGGACCTTGTGGAACACAGCGAAGCTGAGCAGGGACAGGCAGGAGCTGTGAGGCCGGTGGCCGCGGGGCTTTGTCCTCCCCGGGACTCACGCAGGACAGGGAGCCGAGAGCCAATGTCTGCTCTGGGGAGGCTGGGGGCTCTGCCCTCCCCCAGAAGACCCACCAGCTACAGGTGCACAGGACGGGGGCAGTCCCAAGCCGGCTGCACCCACAAGAGGGGGGAGCCCCCGGCTGTGTGGCAGGACAACTGTGGTTGGCTGCTCACCCGTTATCCAGCCCGTTCAGCCCGAGCTTCCTGCCGATGTCGCCCACCATCACCCCGGGCATGGCGCGCAGGGTCCGCGGGTCCCGGATCTGCACAGAGCCACGAAGCCATCAGGAGGTGAAAAGCAGCAGTCGGAGGCTCTGGGGCCTCACGGCTGAGCAGGGGCGTCCTGTGAGGGGCTGTGGGGCTGCTGACCGCACACTGAGGACAGTCCCTGTGGCGGCGAGCCCAGGAGCTCGAGATTCGGCCAGCAGCACTTTGGTCAGGGTGCGGCCTCAACCCAGGGCCGAGGCCACAGACTTGGTGTGGACACCAGGGCCTTGCCTCTCATGGAATGCAGTGGTGCCCAATGTGCGTCTCCCCCGAGCCCAGTACAAGCATCCTGCAGCCTCGTCTTACCTGGACGACAAAGGAGTGCAGCCCGTGGCAGCGGCCATCCGGCGTGTGCAACTGGGCGAACACCACCGCATGAGTGGCAGTCTTCCCCATGTTGCCCACCCAGAACTTGGCGGCTTCGAAGTCAGGGGAGTGGAGGATGAATTCCTGCAGGGAAGCGGGGTGGGCAAGGTTGGCAAGGAGGCACTGAGAGGTTTGGTCCTCAGATGGCATCCCCACAGAAGTGGAACACCAGGCCTTTCTCCCGTGGAACTAACTGCTGTGGGGGGCACACATTAACACTGCACCACTAGGGCCACCACATGAGTGGGAGGAGCTCGTGGGAAATGGAGCTTTCCATTGGCCGCCTGCCCCAGCTCCCATGTCACTCAGTGCCACGGACACGTCCCCACCACGGCAACCTTGCGGCACACGCGCAGAGACACGTCCACGTGGCCGCACGTGTTGCTGTTTGGTGGCATCGAGTCGGCTCCGACCCACAGCGACCTCACGGCTCACAACAGAAGGAAACACCGCCTGGCCCTGAGCCGCCGGCCTCACAATGGTTCCTGGGTCTGCGCCCGTGGTCGCAGCCGCGGTGTCCGTCCCCTTCCTCTCTCACCGCCCTCCACGAGACCCAGCACGACGTCCTTCTCCAGGGACCGGCCTCTCCCAACATGTCCAAAGTACGTTGACATGTGCCACATGCAACTGATGTGTATATACGTGTGCGTGCATACATGCATATACGTACGTATGTACATATAGCATACATGTAGACGGGCAGGGAGAGTCCAGGTGGTGGTGTGGCTGGGTGCTGGGCTGCTAGCCTCAAGGTTGGCAGTTCAAACCCACCAGCCACTCCCCAGGAGAAAGACTGAGTCTCAGAAACTGTGTCCTCCGGGGTCCTGAGTGAGGAGTCAGAATGGGCACAGTGAAGGGGGTTTGCCTCTCTCTCTCTCTCTCTCTCTCTCTCTCTCTCTCTCCATGTGATGGAGGTCTGCTGGTGGAGCCTCCTGTGCGTGTGAATATAGAAGCCAAACCAGCCCAAACCCTCTGCCGTGGCGTCAGCACCGACTCCCAGGGCCCCCCACCCCCACCCCACCTGTCTCCCAGGGAAGTGGCCCTCTTACACAGAGCAAATGGTGGCCTTGAACCGCCGACCTCTGGTTTCCAGCTAAGCACTGAACCACCATGCCCTGAGGGGTACTTCCAACTCCGACATGCCTGTCCACACCTGCCCCCACCCTGCACCATGAGGCCTGGTCCCTCCTCAGCTGCCCTGGCCTCCAGGGGGAGGCCATAGGCAGCATCGGGGATGGGCCCAGAGGAGGGTGTCGCTCCTGACTTACGAAGTGTGACTGTGACTCAGAATGCCAGCCAGGCCGCCTGCTGGGCTCTCGGCTCGAGGGCAAGTACTGGGTGGGGGGGACACCACTGGCCCCGGGGCATCACTGGTGGGGCTCCTGCAGCATCTGCAGGCCTTTCTCTGGAGGTGACTGAGCAGCTGGACTGCTTCACTCAGGGGCAGCAGAGGGCAGGGGCAGGGCTGCTTCAGAGCCGGGCTCTCTGAGTGACCAGTCACACCCCCGGGGCAGGCAGGCACCCAGGGGGCAGTGGAGGCGGTGACAGCCCCAGTGCCCACCTGAGAGCTGGGATCGTAGTGCGCTGTGGTCCGAATGCCCTTGGTGTTGCTCCCGTGACTCAGCTCGGTCAGCGCGAAGCAGCCGAAGATCTAGGGGGGGTGGGGGAGGGGATAGGGGGACGTTGTGGGGAGATGCCGCTCCAGCACAGCCCAGGGGGCCAGTGGAGATGGCGGATGCTGGAGCAGAGAATGGGGGGACGCCCTCTCCAGCACAGCCCAGGGGCCCAGCAGACAGAGACACTGAGAGGGAGCTCAGGGAGGGACCCTTGCTCCAGCTGGGCCCCAGGTGACCGAGCAGCAGAGACAGAAGGGTGTGGAGGGGGACAAGAAGAGGGACACTCTCCCCAGCCCAGCCCCAGGGGACCAAGCAGAGACACAGGGGCTTGGGAGTGATGGGAAGGGGTGGTCACTCACTCTGGCGTGGCTCTGGAGGACCAAGTAGAGACATGGGGGTGAGGGGTGATGTTAGGGGTACACTCACTCCGACCCAGCCCCGGGAGGCAGAGGGACTTGAGAGGGGGCACAAGGGGAGACACTTGCTCTGACCTGGCCCCAGAGGACCAAATCACAGGCCTGCCGCTCACTCCATCTGCCTTGGGCATGAGGGGGTCACACCTGGGGAATGGGGACCCCAGTGTGACACGGCAGCCCCCAGCAGGCACCAGCTGGAGACCCATGTGGCACAGAGCAGCACTGCTCCATGAGGTCTGCCTGGCTGTCACAGCCGACGGGCAGGCAGGCCTTGCTCTGGGGGGCTGCTGGGTGTGGAACAGACCGCTGGTGCCTCCAACGGACTTCTCAATTTCAATGCCCCAAACCCACCAGCATCGAGGAGTCGATGCCGACTCACAGGGCCCCAAGAGGGCAGAGTAGAACTGCCCCTGTGGGTTTCCAAGGCTGGAGATCTGTACAGAACACAAAGCCTCGTCTTTCTCCTGCAGAGCAGCTGGTGGGTTTGATCTGCCGACTCTGTGGTTAGCAGCCCAGCATAACCCAGGGCACCACCTTGTCTTAGTCCTGACAGGAAAGGCGAGATCGCTGTAACTCTGGGGACTCAGGGGTCTACTGTCTGCTGAGAAGCCTCAGGGAGCCTTCAATGTGGCCCAGTGGCCCCTGGGCTCTCTCAGCGGGGGTCCCATGAGTCTCTAAGGTGAGGAACCCAGCTTCCTCACACATAGTGCTCTTCCTCTCCATGTATCCATCCAGCCATCTGTCCACAACCCACCCATCCACCCACCCATCCATGCATGCACCACCCACCCATCTGTCTACCACGCCCCCCTGCACACACCCATCGACTCACCCACCCATTCATCCATCTACCCATCTACCATCTGTCCATCTATCATCCTTCCACCCAACCATCCATCCCTCACCAAGCATCTGTCCTACATTCTTCCACCTACCGACCTACATATCATCCCCCATCCATCCAACCATGCATCCATCCAACCACCCATCCATCCATCCACCACCCACCCATTCACTCACCCATGCATCCATCCACCACACACCCATCCACAACCCATCCATACATCCACCACCCATCCATCCATGTATCCCTCCACTGACCCGTCCATCCACCACCCACCGATCCAACCACCCATCCATTCATCCATCCACCACGCATCCATCCAACCACCCATCCATCCATGCACCCACCATCCACCCATCCAACCACCCATGCTTGCATTCTTCCAACACCCATCAAACCACCCATCCATTCATCCATCCATCCATCCATCCATCCACAAATCGACTCATCCTTTCTTAGATTGGCCTTCTACCTGTTCACTATCATCCATCAATCCTTCATCCTCCCCTCTACCTACCCATCCACCCCACCCCTTCCCTCACCCACCTCCATGTTGAAGACCTTCTGGATGTACGGGATGTGTCGCTTCGAGCCAGAGTTGAAGATGGCTGAAGCAAAAATCTGGGAGCACAACAGGACCAGGTAAACAGGAGCAGCCGAGCCTGCAGTCCTCATGCTGACCAGCAGCCCGGGGTTCTCGGCAACTGCTGGTCTGGAAGTGGCTGGCCAGGCGGATGTCAATACGGGCACCACTGCCATGCAAGGTGCACCATAGGCCCCGACAACACCAAGCAGCAGGGGTTGGGGAGAAAAACCCCAGACCCACTGCTGTTGAGGGGACTCCTCCCCACAGGGGCCCTGCAGGACAGAGGACACAGGGGCCCTGCTGGAGAGAAGACACAGTGGATCCTATAGGACAGAGGACATGGGGGATCCTACAGGACAGAGGATATGGGGACCCTGGAGGACAGAGGGAAACCTCCCCACAGGGGTCCCAAGGCTGTCAATCTTGACAGTTGCAGACGACCACATCCTTCTTCTGGGGAGCTACTGGTGGGTTCTAACCACTGAGCAGGATGGGCAGCTGTGCCCTGAACTGCAATGCCACCAGGGTACCAGGACGAAGTGTGCACGCGCCGCCCACCAGGGCTGCTCAGCTAGGCGGGAGTGACACCCGTGACGAGCGGACAACGGACACACAGCGCTAACGAATGAGTGTGGGATGCTCCTGACGCTGCCTCACGCTGGCCTCGGCCGTCATGCCCGCATGCTTTCCAGCGGTGGGCTGGGGACCCCGGGACTGACAGCGAGCCCCATAAGCTCTGCCTCTGTGCCCCGTATTGGAGACAAACCCACTCGCTGTGTGTAGACAAACATTCCCTACATCACCAAAATCCTCCCCTGGTGAACCAAAGTGTGTCCTCCCCACCCCAACTCTGTGTCGGTGCAGCCAGGCCACAGCTCCCGGTGAGGTGGCAGTGATGCCATGAGGGCATGCAGCAGCGGCCTCGTGATGCCACCATTCCTACAATGTCACGTGACCT